AAGGAGGTGCCGGTGGGAATCGTGGACTGGGCCATGTGCCCGACTGGGAGGCAGAGCTTTGACTCATGGATGGATTTCCAACATAAGGTCCCGGCTGTGGCATATTGAACTGAGGGCGAAACTGAGGTCGAAACTGAGGCCGTGGCATACGTTGCGATTGCCAAATCGCTGATTGCATGGGCCCACACCATCGCGGAAAGAACGGCAACTCTTGTCGTACTTGTTGGGCAGCAGCGCCTGGATCAGCTCTGTTTCGTCCAGGTACAGGTGATCTGGAACGATCTGACTCCGCCATGAGTGCGCAGGCAGGTTCGTTGTTTGGTCGCTGAAAACTGACTGCAACTCAGTAAAACTGTGAGTGAAAGAGACAGTTTGGACAACATGTAAGTCATCCAATGAAATCCCAAACAAGCAAAAAGGTCATGAATTGCAACACTGACACCCTTCCAGCAAAACCAACATGGTGACAGGAGGTACAAACAAAAGAAGTAAAATAGCCAGTGACGTAGGAGCAACATTGGTTACAAGTGCATTCAGATTGAAGCAACCGTGCATTTTGATCCAAAGCTTTTGTCCAGGGAAATCCTAGAAAGGTGATTCGGAGTCCTGTTTAGGCCGAATGTCGCTAAAATTAAAAAAAGCAGTCTTGAGCAGACTGAATGGTCAACCACGACGACGTCGCTCTTCATTGCCGCGGTAGGTGTAGTCGTCGGAGTCAGTGTCACGAAGGTCAATTTCCTTAGACTTTTGGTCTGGTTTCCTGGATCCTTTGAGATCGGCCCATTTCAAAGCTATGAAATGTAGGCCCACATGATTGCTGTGGGCAATCGTGTACTTCTCAGACGTGGTGACTACTCCTTTTTCGCCCACGTTGACTTGGGCTTTTTCGTTGCCCCCGCCCTGGAAGCGGATGTGCTCGTGGGCTCCTCTATACATTGCGCCCACGGTGACTGCCTGTTGGCCCTTACCCTTTTTCTCCATGGAGTCAAGGAGGACCGTTTCTACCCAGGTCGGAAATGTTGTGTCCGCGTTGGAGATTTCTCTGCCAAGGTAGTATGCCCCAAAGGTGGGTAGGTGGCACTTTTGTGGATTCCTGTGGTAAGACCAGTTGGCCGGACGGATCTTACCCTCCAAGAGGATCAGTTGAGCGGAGTTGAAGGTAGTTCCATGACAGAGTGCCCAGGTGTGGTTATGTTGATTGCCAAAAGGAGGTGGCATGGAGAATCGACTGATTGGTGGTAATGGCATGATGAGTGCAAGCATGCTGGTATGAGGAAGTTCACGGACGTAGCAAGTGGAGAGGTCGTAGTCCGGAAGAAGGTTGGTGCTGAAGAATAGTTGGATAGCCTTCTCCACTACATCACCTGGAAGTCTGGAGTCGACCTGATGGAGCTGTTCCTTCGCGGCATCATATTCATCTTGTGGCATGAAGTTGGTCGCCGTAGGACGCTCTTCTGGCTTGAGTTCATTGGCAGCGCGCATCTCGACATGACGAGCCCATTCCTCTTTGGAACCATCTTGGAGATTAATGGGAATATGTCCAGGAGGGACAGCACTGGTGGATACACGCGATTGGATTGAGCTGGATCTGTGTGGGTTATGGCGTGGACGGTCGGAGGAAAATGCAGTGAGAGGTTTGCTGGATGACTTGTAGGAAGAGTCATAGTAGCGTTGATGTTTGGAGGAAGTCTTGGGATAGTCAATCCAACCCGATGAATGGATTCGAGGTTTGGACTGTGAAGAGTCCTTCCATTGGTTCCAGGATTTCCACTTGTTGGTGGATGGCTGGTCGTAGGATGGATATTCATTCTGGTAGTACTCGTTGTGGGGTGATGGATCCTGATGGTATTGTTGGTGTTCCCACGATGCTGGATGAAGTGTAGCTGGTTCCCGGCTGGGTGCCTCACGATAGGAGTCATTGTCTGGCCGTACTTCTCGTCGACGTGGAGAGGCTGATCGCAAATTGACAGAAGAGGCACGACTGGGACGTCTGGATGGATCTCTCGAAGTTGAATGTCGTCTTCTGTGTGATGACCTTGGTCGAGAGGAACGATGTGTTCGTCTCAATGATGTGGCACGACGAGGACTCCGTGGAACAGAGATTGGACGTTTGTCTGGTGCCCCACGGTGTCGATGGGAGCGAGACCGAGAACGACGTGAAGGGTGTTGTACTGTGGTGGAGCTTCACTCGGTAAAGGAGGATGACTTGGAATAGGTGGAGAAGCTTGAATTGGTGGTTGGGCCGGAGCAGGAGGTTGGTTCATATTGCGCTCTTGGGTCTTGTCCACAAACGCTTGCATACTGGACTCAACCGTATTCTTCATCTGTTGCATCATCTCCTCTGCATTGAAGGATGCACTGGATGCCGGTGGTGTGGATTGAGGTGCCACCGGTGTTGGTGGATCAGGCACTGAAGCTGTGGGCTGAGAAGGATGTGGATGGAACGTGGATTGATGAAATGGAAGAAGCTGTTGAAGGTGCTGGATATGTGTCTGAGCTTGTACTCCCAGTTGTTGATTCAAGATGTTATTTTGCTCTCTGAGAGCCGCCAATTGTGCCTGAGTCTGAGCTTGGAGCTGAGCCTGTGACTGTTGGTTCATAAGATCACCGCCACAAAATTGACCTTGAAGTCCCATCGCTTGTGGGTTCCAGAAGGTCCACATGTTGTCGGGAGCGGTAGGATACCGTCCAGGAAACATGGCAGCACTGTCAGACGATTGAAACAAAAATTAGTTCAAACAAGATGCATCCACAATGCATGCAATATTCGTGATAAGGCTCAAAGGCCCTCGGCAGTCATTTCACGACCCTCTGGACAGCTTACGTGGTCAACCCCTGAATTACGTGCACAATTTCAACCTCACCAAACAACCAAAAGAGAAGTGACCAAACCTGGAAAGCATGTCCTGTTACCTGTTCATGTCAAAATGGCTGCGGTCAGTCTCTTGAGAAAACCGGAACGATTGTTGACGTGGCTTCCAGCTATGCAGATTGGCAAAAAAGAAGAGCCCCGAGACAGCGGGCAGCTGTTCAACACAAATCGACATCGACAAGTGAGACCAGGAAACAAGGCCGGCAGTTCACTTTACTTAGACGAATTACTAATTCAAAAGTGTAAATTCAGACATCGTGTTACCGTCAATTGTTAGCCTAGAAAGGCTTTCCCCGAAGGGCTCATACCACCTTGTCGGACAACGGTATGAGTGACACACTTGCTCAGAAACATCTTATCGAATTACTGATGTGGAATGCATCGCACGTGCACAAACAATCCCGTAAAGTCTGACAGGAGAACATGGATGACTAGGCGGGAAACCCAATAAAGAGAAATTCATTCATCATCCTGATTAGGAGCAACTGTTCCATCTGACGAAGTTCTGAGGAAGGTTCAGATGCGGCAAAAACCATAATGAAAATTGGAATTCAAACGACATGCCGGTACTTGGCTTAGCCGGTCGCCATTGACGAAATTGGAAAATGGTGCAGGTACGTCCAGCTGGCCAAGCTGGATATCCCATTTCACTGGTAGCTTCGTTGGACACAGTCCCAGTGAAATGCTGTGTCCCCCTGCATAAATGGCTAGAAAACCTTGTTGAATCAACACCAAAAACTCGAAACAAACAGAAGGAAGTTTTACATCTGTGCAGATGGTCCACACACACATAATAGATTTCCATGTGGGCTAAAATCAAAGGTGCTTCATTGAATGGGGTGATTCATGACCAACCTATCTGCCAGTCTCTATTTTTTGTTGAGCGACAATCAACATTCCACTGATCTCCAGAAATCGTTCCACAACCACCAGCGGGAACATGATGGAGAAAGCCTGGCCGCAGTCACAGCAAACTTTCATGCCCACTGAATGAAGATTCACGAACAACAAAAATAAATATATGATTATTATGATCGTGCTGCTGAGAAGCTGGAAGTAGCAGCAGCACCAGCACTAATCTGACAGACCTCATGACAATAATTCATACTTCTGTCTGGAAAGGGCCAAACATGGATGATATTCACATGACACTGGTCCACCCTGGTTGAGCCTCTTTCTTGAAACGTGTGATCCATTTGCCAAGGTGCACGACAGCGGGGAAGACGTCTCGGATGGACTGTCGCAGCACATCCAGCGATGACATAAGCGCACCGTACATCATGTGGGGATGAAGATCCTTAGTGCTCTGTGTGTACTGCCTGCTGCAAGATCCACAGGAATTCAGCTTGACAATCAACACGGCGGGCTCAAGAAACTGCAGCCAAAGCGTCGTCCAAATCAGCGCTACATAAATAGCCAGACCGGGATATCCTCCTGTCAGTGTCATCTAAATCTTGAGTTGCAACAAAATGTTGAAACACGTTGAAATCAGCAACTTAATATCACCATACATTACACATATCTGCTTGACCTTGGCTCCAAAGGCGAGTCATCGGTTCCCATCTTGGCGCCTTGGTCGGTTTCATAAGTTACAGCATCGAGTCAAGTCAGTCAAGTTACTCCAACTGCATGGTGCAAATCATTGCAGCTGCGAAACACGCCATGGGAGCTATGCAAAAGCTACGCAACGACGGATATTTGAAGTTGCACTTGCTCTCCACTTTGTTCATGTTTGACGCTTTTATAAGGCATTATAAGGCCCCAATTGGCCCAAGAGAGATGAAACTAGTTGAAGGCGGTGTAAGTACAACCTCTTTCTCCTACTTGATTTGACCAGCTGGCTTTTGATTAGGCAGTCTGTCATGTTGATGGGCGAGCTGCAACTAGCTTGCTGCAAGGTTGTCACTTCACCAAAGACTGGACAATTGGAGAAATATGCCGTTGACTAAATGGTGAAACACATCTATCTGTACCTGTATACCTCTTCTTGCTATTAAGAGGGCCTTGGTTAGGAAGAGCCAAACCTAAACCAGGCGTGCGGCACAAGTCTTCACAAAGTAGTACCAAACTGTGGAACAACTGCCACCAACTGCACCAATGTAGCAGTTCCAGCATGAATTTTCAGTGC